ATTAGTATTTAAGTTATAACCAAAAAAAGCAACACAAATACTTACAAAGGTTTCTAAATGCAGTCTGTATTGCAAATTCCGACATAAATATTTTAAATATCAAACACCATGTTTTGTCATCTTTGTATTCCATGCACTTTCCAAAAACTAGTTACAACATTGATCATATTTTTGGTTAAAATGGGCTCAACACACCCAATATAATCCAGAGAAGACTACAGAGTCTGAACTTCTGTCTTTCCAGCTTCATCTTTAGCTTTCTCTCTGCCTGCTCTTGTCCCTCGTAGGACTCAAGAGGCACTTACTTTCAGTTTCTGTCATGTACTTCTCAACTTTACACACTCCCCTTTATTTTTAAGTCTACAAATACAGCCCCTCAACTTAATCATGGTAGCTAGCTTAGTCTTGCTATAGGCTACCTTATTGTAACGTGCTAGAATAGCATTTATTATTGATAGCACTTACCTCATACTATTCTAAATGCTCAATAAACCTTTAATATTCCCAGACAGTTTTACATAAGACTAGGAACTATTTTTATATTGTAACAGTAATACTTCAGTTAAATAAAAAATGAGTGAATGCTTCAAATGATGAATGATGTAGACAATTAGCATCCTAAAAGCGTTAGCTGCAAAAGATAATGTATTATAATGACTAGGACAATTATTACAACTGCTATGGCTAATGCATAGTCCTGTTCAGTGTTGACTCCATGCTAGCCACTGTGTTAAGTGCTTGTCATTCAATGTAGGAATTAGTCATCATGGAAACCTACAGTGTAGTTAGTGTTAATTTCTGCTTTATGGATGAGGAAAGTGTTAATTTCTGCTTTATGGATGAGGAAACTGACATCTGGCTATTATGTAACTTGCCTATAATTTCAAAGCTAGTCAGTGGTAACAGCAGAATGCAGTTTCTATTAACTATTCTGGCATCACGATGAGGGATAAAGCTGTACCTTAAAGATTTTCTGAGTTTTTATAGTAAGTATAATATTGAAATAAAGGAGGGAGTAAAGTACAGGTAATAATGGCTAATTTGAGTTTGTTTCCTATTACATTATTTAAAGTTTACAATCCCACAATTTAATAAATCATTTTTTAAAGTAAACAGTAAAATGATTATCTAGAAATTGAAAACCTTATTCAAGACTAGCGGCACTATATATATAATCTTTGTATCAAATGTGTTGAAGAGCTGGTGTCAGGAACGATTGTCAAAAAAAAAAATTACTGAGTTAGCTGATAACTTTTTTAAAAGTAGACTAAAAAGCAGAGTTGACAAGCTGAAAGTAATGCCTCTTATGACAGTGGTTCTGCACACCAGCTCTCGAACATTTCATTTCACTGGAAAACTTCATGTGCAAGTGAGCAGTTTGAGTTGCTTATATATTCACGAATATGTGAAATTTGTTTGGCTGAATTTTTTTTTTTAAGAAACATACTATGAGTATGTTATTTTAAAGCAAACACTCCTATCTTATAGTAGTCATGATAAACTTATTTATATTTCAAAGGCATTTTAAAAGAAACAATGTGTTTCACAAACATGTCTGTGGCATGGTTTTGAAATACTAAAATTGTAATTAATAAGCAGAAAATTAGTTAAATGTCTTAGTCTAGGTTTATGTTAGCAATGGAAATTAAACTGCAATCATGTAAGTAAATGCCCAGTGTGTATGTGGCAGTGGTGTTACGGGTTTGTGCTCTGTGAATTAACACCACTTTGACGCAAGAACTTTGCAGGTCTGCGACAATGCATTTATTAGTATCTCTTAACAGTCCTTGAAATTTATTTACTCATACAGAGCTGGGGTACAGGCCAGAGGTAAAGGAGCAGTGAGAGGTTTCACCAGAGACAGTGTGAGGAGCAGAACAGGCAGATCTACTGAAATACTCTGCTTAGGGAAGCAGCAGGTGGGTCAGGGGAGTTCCGCCACACCATGTGGGTCCATCCCAGGCCAGGAATTGAAATAGCACTGAAGATGCTATGGCCAGCCTGCAGTGCTGTGTCCTAACCCATTGTACCACCAGGGAGGGCCAGTATTTGAATTTTTTATTTTAATAATAGTTTATTTTTACATACTTTTGTGTATTTTTTCATCTCAGTTGTAATCCCCGTGGGTTTTCTATCACCAAATCACCTGTGTGCCATCACCATAGTCTAGTGCATTTCCCTCCCACCACTGATTTTGATCCCATTCCCCACTCCACCCCCATAAAATGTCTTTGGTATATAGCTCTGTTCATTATTACTTTCTCACCTGGTCCATTATACTCCTGCTATGAGTGAAATCATCTGGTGTTTTTCCTTTTCTTTTTGGCTTATTTCACTAACAATGATCTTCTCCAGTTTCATCCAAGTTGCTGTGAAAGACACATGCTTATTATTTTTGGTTGCTGAGTAATATTGCACTGTGTATATGTACCACATCTTTTTAATCCAGGCATCCACATTTGGGCATTTGTGCTGTTTTTCCATGTCTGTTCAATTGTAAATTTGGCAGTAATAAACATGTGGGTGCAGGTGTCTTATTGAATCAGTGTTTTTTGTTTTTTGGGTACATACCTAGGAGTGCTGGGTCATATAGAAGCTCCATGTTAAGCAGTTTAAGAAATCTCCAAACAGTTTTCCATAGTGGTTCTACTAGTTTGCATTCCCACCAGCAGTGCAGGAGAGTTCCTTTTTCTCCACATCCTCACCAACCTTTGCTGTTGCTAGTTATTTTAAGATGTGCCATTCTCACTGGGGTGAGGTGGTATCTCATTGTGGTTTTAATTTGCATCCAGTATCTGAAATTTTTAAGTGATCAGGTTTGAAATCTTCATTATCTCTTAAGTTTTAAAACTGATTTGAATGTAATTCAAATACATGGCCAGTATGTTTATGGATGTTTAGGGAAATTCAATGGTAGATTGGTGTCTTTTGGTGTGACAGGGCTAATGGCAGCAGTAGATGTTTGTTTCTTTTTAATTTTAATTCTTTCCTGAATGTATTGGCTGGCAGAGGTTTGAAGTCCCTATAAAGAGAAGACTGGACATGCTTGAGAAAGGAACTGATGTCTCAAGGGAAAAGATGGGGTAGGATAGGATCAACATGATTGATAAAGGAAATAAAGATCTCTGGGGAATAAAAATTAAGATTAGTTGCTACAAAGTAAAAGCCATATGACTTCCCCACATCAAGTAAAAAAAATCCAAATGCAAACTTTTCTACTTCACACTGTAGTTTTTTTTCTCTTGAAAAAATTGCCTCTATGTTAATCACTATCTTCAGTGACCATATTCTATGGATATGTGTTCTCCATAAATCCAAAGGCATGCCAGGATAGAAGGATGGTGGCATTATAGTGGAATCACATAATTCGGCATGTTACTTGACTAGGCAAGCACAGGAGGGCAGTTGTAAGCTAGTATAAAAGTAAAAGGCATCTAACAAGTCATGTTAAATTTCCACATTAGTCATCATTGTCTTAGCTGTTTGCTTATAAAACAAGTAGGGGAAATACTTAAATGTTGTATGTTGGAAAGATACACACTTTTCAGATATTTTGACTTGTTTTGTCAAGGTTTTAAAAGAAACATGGAAACATAACTCCTGCCTAGAATCTCATTTTAAACAGCAGAAGGATGAAGCCTGATGTAAAATACTCCTAAGTGTCTTGATGATGGAGACAGTGTGAAAAGGGTCAGAGTTGGGCAGGGAAGTTGCAAATTTACTGTGCACTTGAGTCAAGATTCATAACTGAAAGTACACCGGTAGTCCCAAAATTTATTTCCACAATCTAGAATGCTCTACACAGGAAGGTCTGCTTTCCTACAAAATATTTATGCAGAGCCCTGTTACTTTCCATGGGATTATCAATAAATGAAATCATCCAAACTTTGTTGACTTTAAATGATAAACTTTTATTCTGAATATACTGTTTTTGCACAAGATTTAACACAACATTTTGTGGGATTATAAATATTTTTATAACAGTATTATACAAATTTTTACAAAACGTTTTTCTCAGGCTAGTTAATTTCCACAAAAGTGTCAAGAGAACATAATAAAGGGGAGAAGAGATCATTTGTTCACAAAGCCACCTGGCCTTTTGCATGGATGCACACTGAGCATTTCAATGAAAAGTATCCCTAAAAGCATGACCCAAAGATCACACAGCATAACAAAGGACATCTTTGTCAAGTCACACTGTAAACTCAATCGGCATCTATACAAGACAGTATCCTATTAGTCCAGTGGAGGTGTTTTGAGTTGAATATGAGTACTACAAATGAGGTGATGGAAAGTGGTGGTAATCCTTGTCTATATGTTTGAAATGTTGGAATTATTTTAAGCATGATAACTTTGATTTATTGATTTGCTCTTTACAGAAATTTATATTGGAATGTTAAAAATACTAACATTCTGCTGTGGGAAAACAAAAGTTGCCAATAATAAGATAACGGAAATTGAGGGCAAGGCAATAGACTATTGTACATTAACAGAAACAAAATGGATTGTTATTAGTCAAACTAAACTTCTAAACAATTTTATGTTAATGAACATGATTAATGGAGAATTTGAGTTAAAAATTAAGACTGAATTTAAGCTTTGGTGGCAATAAGATTTAAATGAGATGTAAAATACAAGAGAGCATCAAATAAGCAAGTAACACTTGGGTTGCAAAGGTCACTTAAAAGAGATACTGCCTATTTGAACCCAGTAAGGCCAGTTTTTAAGTTAATAAAAGGAATTTTATAGGAAAACTTACAAATGGCAGCAACACTGTTTTGTTTTTTCCAAGTTAAGCAGTAATGCCTCACACATTAGAAACATGAAAAAAAGTCATACTAAAATCTTGTAAGCCCAGGACCTAAAAATCTCTTCAATCAAACTTGCAATGTCATGTTAAAAACCTGTTACAAATATGGACCACGGTTGGTGTTTGGCAGTAATGCTGGTTGTTCAAATGAAGATGAAAGAAATTCTTAATGCAAAATTTATTCGTGTTATTCAACATCAATGCAAATCTTATTCTGATACTGTTTAGGTGACACACTACTTTAAGTTGAATGAATATAGCACAACTTAAGGGAGTCTTAAAGCTTTCCTCTTGATCTCTTGCACTGCTCCATATCTAGAAATCAATATTTATAACAGGCTATAATTTAAGTTCTTGTCAACTGTTGGAACTTCCAGAAAAATCCTAAATGAAATGTCAGAAGTGGAAGGGGCAGGTGTTAATTTCTTCTATAAGATCAGGAGAAAAGGAAGAATAGTCTTAGTCATGAGAACAATTTTAGTCAGAGAGCACATTCTTACCCAATAGTTACATAACTATTCTGTAACACAAAGAATCTTCATAAGACTCATGCGGGTAAATATATTTTGATGGCAAATGAAATCAAATAGGACCCTGCCAAGAGATGCCAAGTTTTAACTGTGATTAACAATACAACAATAATGTAGTTGATGAAACATACTATTTTAGTGACATAAGCCAGGAAAATATATTTAATAGATTTTTAACATAAGGTAGTTTGTTGTATGCTGGAAGCAATGCAATTATTTTTATGTGCATCATATATATAAACTAATCTAACTGGCTATCTTGACATCTCCCTTCTCAGTACTTTCGTAATTTAAAATAGTCTAGTAAAAGTTGACAATAAGTTTAATATACAAATATGACTTAAGCATATTGTTCCTAGAGTGAGAAGTTCTGTAAGTTTTTTAAATAACTTTGGTGTTTTCTAAAATGTTAATACCAGTTACAAGTGAGACTACAAAGTCACAACGATGAATTAGAAATGGTAACAGATGTCAACTCTTATAACAATAATTGGCAAAGTGATTTCATTTCCCCCTCCCCATTTTTAAATAAAAAAAACTAAAGTACGGAAATGTTCACAAATGGTACCTAGGGTATATTGGTGGTTGGAAGGAATTAGAAATGTATGCAAAGCTAAAAACAAATATATCTTTGAAACTATGCTAAAGATTGAGTCATATCTTCGATATGTGAAACATAGTAAACCATGCTGTATAATATTTTGACTTAAAAATAATATATAAGAAAACTTCCAGCATATATACACACCAATATTTGGCATGTCCAAAAAAACTCATTTTACCATAAAAAGAATCGGCTTCCAGCCTTCAGTAGAATGAATTATTTCACTGAATAGAGTGACATAATGTTTTTACCCTTTTTTGAAATACTGTTCACTCTTGAAAAAAACTTCTAAAAGCATAATACATTGCTACCATAGTAATGTATAATGAATTATCTGATTGACTACCCTAACCATGTTCACCAATGAGGCTGTATAAAACAATTTTGATTATTCACAATCAAGTATTCTTGTGCATACATACAGATTCAAGGTTTCCTATTTGTTCACATTTTTGTAAAACCCTCATCAAATGGCATGAAATTTTGGTGAAGTGACCCTACCTTTTTAAACAGAGGGGCTAAAGCAGCAGTGGTAGTAGCAGAAAAATTTTGATAATAATGTGCTACTATTGAAACGAACAAAGAGGAAACCTAGGATGAATGTTCATTGAGAACATATAAGTACTTTTCAAAAAATAAATGTGTCAAATCTGATTTATGTACTTAAAATATCTGTACATTGGTTTTCAGGCAAAAGCACGAATCTGTATAAAATCCATTAATTCCCATTTCTTCATTTACCGAACCCAATCATCCAGCATTTACATTGCACAGTATATTCAGAGTAGTTTAACGACATTTTAAAAGATGACTGAAGTGCATTACATTGTAAGGTTCAAATTCTTACATAACAATGTCACTCAATTAACTTTTCAACGGACTATACTCTACAGTAAGAGAAAAACAAACTGAAAATTAAAATAGCAGCAGCATCATGCAAAAACCCTTGGTAACCAAAGTTCATTCATTTGTCACAAGAAAAAACATTTCCCCTCCCCCCGACAAGCTTTTCTTAGAGCGTTTTGAAATACCTGGCCAGCACTACACAACTTTACTGTTAACGAAAGAAACATTACATCAAAGCATTTATTAAGGGCTTACATTTATGAGGAAGTATATCACATGTTCTAATTTCACCCTCAAGCACCTTAAGGTTAATAATTCCTTAGTTATTATTTCCCAACAACCAATAAATTACCCCACCAAAATTAATTGGCCATCATGTGTGTTATATTTTTGGCATAAAAGCCATACTTCATAAGGCATTTTACTCATGGCAAATTTTTAATAGAAAAGTAGCCATTATTTATATTTCAAGAGTTTACACCAATGTTAATTCTTTATCTCTCTCTCTCTCCATATATATATATATATATTTAAACTAATAACTAGTCAAAGCAGGAAATATTTTTAGCAGAAGAACAAGTAAAGGCAAAAATAAGTATTTCCCCCCTTGATATTTTCTTGGATAAAGAACAGGGACTGCAGCAATTGGAAATTCAAGGTCAAAATCATTATAATTTGCACGAGTCATCAATGATTGTTTGGGGAGCCCTTTTACATGGAATCACCAACAATGTAACAACAAACTCTCAGGTTTTCCACTACAACACGTACAAAATTTGCTTTGATGTTCTACATACATGATGCAGCATTCACACAACTGTAGGATCTCACACCCCGACATGCAGCCAGCGGGTGCCCAGTAGTCTGTCCTTAGATGCATGCCATGGATGTGCCCAGCTAATGTGTGCTGATTCCACGGCTGATCCTATGGTAATGCAATCAGGGCTCATGTTTTGGCAGGGTCTTAAGTTTAAGTATGTCGATTTGGTTTTAGATGGTCATAACTGGCAGTGTCTACTGCCCGATAAAAGCCAAAGTAAAACAAACTGTATCCCAACGATGGACCACAGGGAGGGGTTCAGTCCAGAAACGCCACCACAGTCAGTATAATCTTCCTGTAAGAAAGAAAGATGAAAAAGAAAAATACTTAGAAAACTAAGAGTACTGAGAGGATCCCATGATCAGACCAGTTCTGGACTCAACTGATCCCAGTGGTTTCATTGCAATCTAAATGAACCGCATTCTGTAGAGTTTGGTGTTCAACACTGTTGGCTAAAACAATTTGCCAGTGTCAGTGAATTTTGAATTGTTGACTACTATGCTACTTTCTAAAGAAAGTATAATTGACAATTATGTTGTGAAATAATACATACTTATAAATGTAAGAAATACAAGTAAAATCTAATGGGACTTTTTATAATTTACAAGTACTATGATTTTCAGCAATTAGGCTTTGTAATGTAAAAATTGGGACTTGGGGGTTAATTGGGAAATGAACTTCTCATGTGCCTTGGAGCCATTTCTTAAGTGAACAAACATGCTCATGCAGCATCTGAACACTCATTGAGTTAAAACATGTATGTAAAAAAACATGTATGTGAAAAAACCAAGAGAACAGTGAAAGGAAATACTCAAAAGAAAAACTGAAGAATAGTTTTTGTTCGTTTAGAGACCCATGAAGACAGCAATGAATTTATATACTTGGATCTCCCCACGTGTGGATGGCTCATTTGGTGAATTCCTGACAAAAGTTACCTTTTATTCCTATGTTCTGTATTCTGTATCATTTTCTACATTGTATACCTGTGCAGTATATTAAAATTTCTCTAATAACATATGAAACACATAACTATATTTTGTCCAAAATAACAAGTACTCAGTAATGTTTAATCGTGTAATACTGCAGCTAGGTAATATCATAAATCATGTATTTTTTGGGGGGGAATAATTTCACAAAACTCCCAGAAGTTAAAAACAGTGACTGTCTTGCTCACTAAGGTGTAATACACTGCCTGCCATCTACTAAATTTCCTGAAATAAATCAGGTACTTAAAATGTTAGCATAGCAGAAATCTAAAATCTGAGAATCAACAATTTATGAAGATCTTTTTCAAAAGCTGTGTCCAATCTACAAAATTATTAAAGAATCATTATTATGTCTTATGTCTTCTATGAATTAAGACACTGTAGAATAGTCTCATCTTAACTCATGCACTATATCTTTTATCAACACACCTGTTTGGCTTTACTTCAAACATGTTTGTGGTTTGTCTCATTTTGTTTGGCTTGATGCTCTAGTTTTTATGCCCTTGAAATGTTAGATTGTTCCCTTGAGTGCATTCCTTTTTTTAAAAAAAAGGATTGTATTTATGCTCACAGAGCTGAGGTACAGGCCAGAGGTGCAGGGGTGGTGAGAGGATTCACCAGAGACAGAGTGGGGAGCAGAACAGGCAGATGGATGTAGTACACTGCTGAGGGGAGCAGCGGGCGGGTCAGGAGAGGTCGGCTGTGCCATGTGGGTCACCTCTGGGCCGGGGATCGAACTCATGCTGAAGTGACTTTAGTTACTCAGTGCTGTGCTTGAATCCACTGTGCCACCAAGGAGGGCCCCAGAGTACATTTTTTCCACTTACAAGTTTTTCCTGGTGATTGAATTCAACCCTGTAGTTTTATATATCATCTATCTGCTGATGACTCATCTTTTAATGTCATATTCATTAAGAACATTGGTTTTAAATTTCAGCGCTCCACATACTTGACAAAGGAAAGTATAAGGTACTGCCTACATACAATTAGTAATGATGAAAGGATTTTCCTAGATAGTAATCAACACATCATTGTGTTTCAAGAACATTTACTTTCTATTTTGTTAGCAAAATGCAGTGGTGTAATTTTAAGTACTTCAATGACTCTGCTTTACGTTAAAATCTTGGATCCTACTCATCTTGAATTCTTCTCTTGAAACAACCTCCACCTCGGACACCTTCTGAGAACTCTGCACCCCCTCCCTTTTTGTTTTTACACTGAGCATTGAAAGTGACACCAATTTGTCCTTCTGTCTGACTTTTACCATAATGTTTTCTAGGCCACCAATTTTATTGTAAATTGCGAAATGTCCTTTGCCCATTAGCAATTTATTCATTGATGTTTGCATTCTTAAGGGCTACTGTGAATCATTTAGTGAGCATGGTATCTAAAAGGGTATATACACACCTATGTTTTTACATTTGCTTTTGGTTGATATTCAGAAGTTAGACTACAAGATCAAAAGGTAGTTTCTGTAATTGTCTGAGGAATCGTCATTCCATATTCCATAACCTGCACCATTTTACATAAAACAGTGTGCAAGGATTCCCATTATGTTTGTATATCTGAACTATGGCTAGCAAAGGCATTCTTATAACAATACATTTTCTGATCCCTGGGTCCAGAAAATTTGTAAATCTTTTTAAATGTGCTTCACAAAGGTCTCACAGATTGCAGTACATGGAACTTTGATTTCCTTAAACGTTGTCAAAACTTTGATGCAATTAGTAATGGAATTTTTTTCTTTGCTTCTCTAAGTTTGTTATTAATGTGGACAAATGGTTTTGTAAATTTTTTTGTCAATCTTAATAATTATTTCAAAGGAATTAAGTTTGTTTATTATAAGTAGATGTTTAATTCTGTATTTTTTCCCTCTAGTTACTGAGTTATTTTTTCTCTTAAGCTTTCATTATGTTAATGTGTTTCAGTGATCTTTGAAAGTTTATCCATTCTATATCCTTGGAATAAATTCCTTTGACTTTGCTGTATGTATAAGTTATTACATCTCAAGTACACACTTGGTTTTGAAATTTTTGAGTCACTCAAGTACCACTTCCCAATTCTTGTTATAAAGCTTATATTCTTCTAGATGTGATATTTGTGGGTGGTGTTCAATTTGATACTGGTTTTTAATCTACTATGCTACTTGGTACCTTCTGATTGAGGTCAATTTACATCTTGAATGAGTTGTATGTCACAATAGTATATCCATGTACATAAACATTTTAATTGTGGTAACGTCACTTTGCAACACTACATAGGATTTAGAGGTACAAGATGACAAGGATGTATGTATCACAGTGCACCCAACATTAAAATACCAGAAGTCCTCTAAGATGAGATTTATCTTACTTTTCCCCTTTTGATTGCCTCATTTTTACATCAGGCTTTTAGGGTTTATTATTGACTTGCTTTTATCTATCTGTTTTGCCTGCATTATACATTTAAATGATACTATCCATATTGTTTTGATTTGTGGTAGGGTCTTAACATTTTTTTGGGGGGGGAAGGGGGTGGAGTTGTGAATTTATAATTTGTCTTTAGACTTAATACAAACGTATGTGTCAGAACATTTTGTAACTTAGGAATAGCTGCAGTGAAGAGCTGCAGATTTGGTTTGTCTGCGAAGGTAGTATTTTTGTCCTAAACATTTTTAAAATTCCTTGCTTTGCATTGTCTAGAGTGTTCTCTGAGTTTCATAGACTTATTCCTTCCCCAGTCTTTGGAAGTTCTCAGTTACATTTTCTTTGAATAAGTTTTCTGTTACTTTCTCGATTCCTTAACCTCTGGGGTAACCACTATCCTCTCTTGCCTTCCCTAAAGGAGACAGATAGGTCTTGTAGTATTACTTTTTTTCTTAAAATGTTACTTCTTTGGTTCCTCCCTGGTGGTGCAGCGGGTTAAAGAA